ATTTGGAATTCATTTCTTTTGCAAGGTGAAAGTTCTCACCAAGAGCTAACCAATGCTGCCCCTAACTCAATTTTTTGGTGTTTGGACTTACACCACTTCCGTTCTGGAGAGCTCATATAATAACATCTATCACCTTGAATAGTGTATGTATGTAGTATGATCAAAACAAACATTGGGAGATGATTCTACATAGTTTGGCGAATGCATTGGCAGTATTGAAATAATTTTATGTGTTCAGAAGCACACAGTAGCCACCTTTAAAAATTGTCCCTAAACTAATTATGTCCATCGTCGTGTCCCTAATTCAACTCGATAAATTTCATCATTTCAACTCAAGAGGCAGAACAAAATGTAGCCAAATCGATGTGTTTTCATCTCAAAAAATAACATCCGTGTGTTAAAATACCTTTATTTTGCTAATGGGAGGGGGGGGGGGTTTTAAAAATGGCACAATGTTCGATGAAAAACAAGATAAGTTACATAAAGTCAGCAGAAAAATTCTCACAAAGAGCCAATAAAGCATCAGAAGCGACCAATTAAAAACGTAGTTTGATGCCACAGATAATTTCCAACATTTTCTATAAGTGGAGTAAAACACATCAGTGATTAGGGCTATAAAACGGAGGCATTTCTGAGCTAAAATTATTCACCTGTTTTGTCCATCGAAGTGTCACAAAGCATTTTTCTTATGAGCCAAAGTGTTGAAATTTCACATTAATTCCTGCAGTTATTTCCTGTGTATGCGATCTTCCATAAGTGTTATGTGGTTTATTTATGAAAGAGGACCCGAAAAAAAATTCAAGATGGCCGCCTAAATTTTCTCTCAATATAGTCATCCTGAAATATCAACATGTCTGTAGAATCACACATAAATACACTCCATCTATATTTTTACTTGATTTTTATTTGGAATTATAGTGACCCTAGTTATAAAATTGTAAATTTTATGGCACGAAATTATAATAATTATCTATCTGGAGTTGCACTCAGTCAATAGCAAATTGATTTAAACGACTTTTCAAGTCCAAAAATTGATGATCCCATTCACCAAAAAATCTACGCAGCAGAGTACGTACTTGAGACCTATTCATTTTCCAATATTTTTGAATTGAGAAAAACAGACCCAGGAATCTCAAACCGATCAGCTTCAGTTTTAGGCTACTCCAGCCAATCAGGAAAAAGTTTGGAACTGAGTGCACCTTGCCATCTTGTACATATTTGGTTTTCTTCTATATGAACTCTTTTATGAAGTTCGCCATCTAACAGATACTCGTATTTTCCAAGGTTTTTCTTCAATTTACGGAGTATTAAGTACCACTTTAAATAATACTCCAGTCCATATTGTCCCAGGAGCGCCTTTCTTTTTTTCAAAATTAATTCATGAAATTCAAGTTGGAGTGAAAAAAAAACCGCTGAAAAAGAGGACTTTGCGTACCTTTTTATCTACACATAAGGTACTCCTTGAAATCAACGTGACTCCAAGTTACGGTAACTCAGGATGAATCAATATTTTTACCGATAGGATTGGTTCGTGTGCAAGTCAAGTTACCTACTTGAAAAATGGCTCATTACTCATGCTACAATGAGCAACGCAATCCACTCCACACCACCAAATTCGAGAATGAATACCATCCATGCCTGTATTTCTCGTCCAATGTACGCATGTAGTATTTCTATATTATTATATGTAATTTATTTGCGAAAAATCAATCAATACATTTTGAAACAAGAGTTCCATAAAAGCAAAACGATTTCTTTTTTAATCGTTGGGTGGAGAGAAGGGTGTACGTGTACCCAGAAGAAATGAAAATAATTTTAGAGCCAGATTTCTCAAATCGTACATTTTTTATTGATCAACGTATCAAAACAATCACAAGAAATCCGACGTGAATTACAGGCTCGCGATAGTAAATTCGTTCAATATCACAAATATGAAGGTCAAAGAATCAACAGTTGCGAATCGATGACCAGAAGAAATTCTACAATTGCTGGAAGACTACAGAGACACGTAAAAAATTAAAAACCGAAAACGTCATCGTAATTCTATTACCAACTTCAATAGATAAATTGAGAGGAAGTAGGCTATAGTACAGGCACTCGAGAAAGTTGGCAAAAATATTCTTTACTTCTTTTACAGGATAATGCAAAATGGAAACCGTCAAGAAACCAGAGCATTCCTTCAATGCAGAATTATTCACTGGATTCGTTCAGTGATTGATTCAACCGGTCACTGATTCCCAGACTGACCAGTTGAACCGATCACTAGGATCATTGAGTAACAATTCCTGTATAACAGGAAGGCCAGGTTTCTCATGGAAAGGTGACCTAACCAAATGATCCGGTTAGTCATTTGAAAGGGTGACCCAACCGTTCAATCACCCTCTCGAATGAGTCACCAAAACATTTGGTACCCTCCTAAACACGTAACCGGACTTTTCAGTCACCCTTCCAAATGGGTGACCAATCTACTCAGGTACCCATGGTCACGAGACTCCATTCTGTTTCTATCCTGTTGCAAGGTACCACCAACTGACAATAAATTCAACTTCTTACAAGTGCTATCCCAAATGACCGAGTTATTTCTAAAAATAAAAATCATCGACCAAATCCAAAACTTGAAACATAATTTCGAATCCCATCCGCATAACCCTCCCCTCCAACAATAAATTTGCCTCTCCCTCGTCTCAAAGTCGTTTAAATAGTTTTACTACCGTGATTTCTACACTAAGTTTGTCGAAATCAAAACCTTAAGCATATCCACAACAATTTGTCGTTCCAATCAGTGGAAGTCAAGGCCTGCCTTCTGAGCTGGTCTACCCTGGTGGCCATAGCATACAAGGCCAGCGGAATACGATGCCCGATTTCTCGCCAAATATCTTGCGAGGTGGGCACCCACTCGTTCGGACATCCGCATTTCAAACCGTCCGATGTAATGCTCCACCAGACCGACACGTTTTCTCATGAACTCCACCATGGACCCGCATCCACGAACATCAAAATCACCAAGTCGTCGGCCAGTGAGCTCCGGCGCACTTTCCCCCAGTAGCCGATCTCCACATGGACCAACTTTTCATTTTCGTATCGGAAGAAGACAGCAGCCTGCGAGTAACTTCATGACACAGGACCAGGCAGTCCGGGTTTGCCACTAGATCCTCGCGCAGACGATGGTTCAGGGTATCAATCAGCACTTTCAGTCGCTGCATACCCGGCGCAGAGTCTGGCAGCTGCATGAACGACCAATCAGCTGCAAGTTCGCCGTAGCAACGCTCTAACATCGGAATGACGGGGGTCGCGTCCATCGACGAGGTAATGTCTCTCAGCATTGCGTCTTCTCCGCAAGCAGCGATCCCTTTCGGGCTCTCGTCTCGAGTAGGCGGCCGTGGAACTGGCCGATGCGCCTGGCCATCATCTCCAGATGATCCGAGTTCAGGCGCCACGAGTAGCTCGAATGGACGATTTCATCCTGGCACTCGAACATGGACACGTCCAATCGCTGCTTCGGGCAGAGGCGCATGTGGTAATGCGTGCAAAGTCTGCACCAAATCGCGACTCGAGTCGTCGACGCACAGCGGCCAGATACTGCGGTGGAGAGGTATTCATTAGAGCACCAAGAGCTGATCCACAGTTTTCTTCCTCAAGTCAGCGTCCGCTGGGCGCCAGCAATACTGCACTCGGTATCGATGGGACCTGCGAGTCCTTCCACCTTGGACGTACATTCATGTAACCGTGTACATCGGCCGGATACGAACACTCAACGAAGGGAGTGCCCTCGACGAACAGAAAATCCAAATAGCGAGCGTCATCGCCGAAATCGAGGCGGTGGTCGTTGAAATGATTTTTTTTAGCCACGTACTTAACACAACGATCGCATTTTCAACAGATCACAATTTTCAGATAATTAGCCTGAAACAGTACTAGGTTCTATGAAAAATTCCCGAATAACGTCGAAGAAAACACAAAATTCGACGAAACCCTGAATTCGAAAAAAAAAAACTACGCATTCGAAAACTAATCAGCTTCGAACATTATTCGCTGACAATAACTGATGGCATACTCTCCTCAGTATTCACTATTCCGCTTTGAAATTCTCATTTCAGCACACACCACGCTTTCTCTCTCGAGGAGGCGCCTCCCACAGATTATCTATATATGGCGCCTCCCGAACAAATACGCTGGTAAATCCGGTTCCGTCTTTGGTATTCCTCCCTTCTCTTTGAAAATCGCCACGTTTACAACCTCGAGTTTCTCGACTCGGACAGTCATCGACCACGTTTTCAACCTCAGACCTCGAGTCTATCTCGTGAACATAATGCCAAATACAGAGTGTCTCTCTGCTCCGACTATACAGGGTGATTCACGTTTTCGACGCTACATAGGAAAATAACATTGTAGCGTCGAAATGTGAATCACCCATATGTTAT